AACAAGATTAGTCGTAATGGAATCAGCGCAGTACAAAGGGATATCAACGTGGTTTTCGAAAAAAAAAAAATGAAGTTTGACAGGGGAAAAAAAGGGATACGTGTTTATTCTTGTCGACGAAACTCTGGCTCGTCGCTGAGTATCCGTGACCTATAGCTAAACGCATCTAGTCTGTATACAGGGTGTACGCGATAAGTAATTCACTTACAGCTATATTGAGTTAACCCTTGCTTCTGCAGTGCCTCCATTTAGCCTCTGAAACCCCTGTTTCGATGGTACTTCTGCTCTTCCACCTTTCTGCCCCTCGACTCCCACCCCCGGCGTCGATTACCCCTGTGTCATTCGGTTCTGGCGATATTAAAATTGTCAGACTCCGTCTTGTACATACTGTACACGGCGTGCATTATGTCAACCCACGAGTTGGCGTTTGAGGTAGCTCTTCTAAACACCTATCTCTCCAGGCATCAACTCGTGGATCGACATCGGTACAAATTCTGCTAAAAACTCACCCGCCGACGTTACGTTAACTAAATATCTGAAATTCTTCCCATGATGGAACCAGCAGTTCGCTCTGGTTCAGCAGGACTCTTCCCAGATCAAACAAGTCGAATCGATGATGACTCCATAAATAATTGGTCCGGGTATCAACGCGAACAGAGAGATGGTCATCAAAGTGACACCCTGGGCGAAACTTTTATCCTTCTTGTCGACGCTGCGATAATTCACCAGGACATTGCCGATCTTCCCGGAACATGCCAGAGTTTGTATGATGCAGCTGAGAACGGTGAATAAAAGATATGGCCCGCTGCAATCGTTCGAGCAGATTCCGGCTCTGACTTTGTCGTAATTCATCGTTTGCAAATTATTCGAGTGGATTAATTGATCCTGCACCAGAGGTTGTACGGTGTCATGGTCGAAGACGAGGTTCGATGAACTCAGTGGGAGACAACTGCAGTTCCCGAATTCCTTGTCGTTGATTATTGTTCGACAACCTGCGTGACAGGCGGAGAAAAATGTCGTCTTTGATGTCACGTGACAGACCGGAGAGTATTTGACGCCCTTTGATGCACGCGGAATTACAGCTTGATGTCAGACTCATTCTGAAACAATACGCGTGGAACAATTTGTGGTATTTGAAAAATAATTTCAGGTGTTTCGAAACGATGGAGGATGCAAAAAGACTGGACGAAAAGATGGCGGACGAGGGCGGGATGGCCGTAGCTCGCATAATATACTCATCGCGGCATAATAATTCAGAAATTTGCATATACGCGGGCTAACTCCTCAAGTAGGTTATCTATGCTGAAAGTTTTCTTCGTGATATATAACGCATCCATGGCGGAGTAACCGAGGAGAGAAGCCGCGTCTGCATCGCCTTACGTCCACGTCGTTCAGGGGGTTAGGAACACGGAGGGTTAGGGGGGTTAGAGGCAAGGTCCTGGAAAAGCGAAGTTGCCTAACTAGGCGCAAATAGAGTGGAATATACGCTGTGCCAACGGGACGTTATCTTTTCGAATTAGAATTACCAACGGCGAACCTCCTTCCTTTGGTTTAAAAGCTGCCGTTTATGAGAAATTTATGCATGAGCTAGATTATTTATGAGGTTAGCATCGGCTAAAAAGAGTAATTAAAATATATCATTGCAGTCTCGCTTGTTATCTTTTACTGTCTGCACCTAAGGCGTTGTGGAACTACGTTGGTCAGAAAGTTTTGTCCTTAAAAGGTTTTTAAGGAAATGGGAGTTTCGCAAGGTTAGTTGGAGATTACTATTTTTATTAAATTCTTGAATTTGGAAATTTTCTCAAATGTTCAAATTCTCTGTGAAATCCACAAATTCCTAAATTCTTACATTCTCAAATTTCCACATTCTCAAATTACCACCTTCTCAAATTTCCACATTCTCAAATTTCCACATTCTCAAATTCCCACATTCTCAAATTTCCACATTCTCAAATTTCCATATTCTCAAATTTCCACCCTCTCAAATTCCCACATTCTCAAATTTCCACCCCCTCAAATTCTCACATTCTCCAATTCCCACATTCTCAAATTCCCAAATTCCCAAATTTCCAATCCCCAAACTTGCTAGCCACAATAATCACCACCACACAAATAACTTTCCTCCCAAAAATATTCCTACAAAGTCTTCCAGAATTTCATCCCCAAATAGTTATCTCTTAAGGTTATCTCTTAAGCACGAATCCCTATTCATACGATTTACACCATTAATTCTCAACGAGACTCCAATAACGCAAAGGGACATTGACAGCATAACTTCCGTACCTAATCCAAATTTCAGAACCTCATATCAACCTTTGAGGCGATTGTCCCGTTAGTGTCTCATTGACTCTGCCGGACAGTTTCCATGTGTGCACACATATTTGAGGATATTTTACAGATCACGTTTCCTCGATAACTCTGTACACGAACTCCCTCTTTCTCCCTATTACGGTGTATTATAACTACAGATTTTCGACGACGAACTACGAAATATACCTATCCTACCCCCTTCAACCCCGGTCTCTTCGTTTGTACTCTCGGAAACGTTTTCATCCTCAAAGGACCCACCCGGCACGACGTAGTCAGAGGATTACGACCTACAACTCTACATCGAATTAGAATTTAGTGACACGACGATGAGTATGTATACGACGAGTTTATTGAACGAAGCTGTATTAAATTCGCTATCATTTCCATCCGACAAGGAGATAAAGGAACTCGAGGAAAGAGGACCTGGTTATGGATAGATCAACTTCATGGGTAGTTCGCTCGTTATTAGAACATTTCTCGTGGCAATTTTATAAATGTTTAATGTCTAAAGTGGGAGCATTTGTAAATTAAGAGTAAAGGAAAAAGAAATGAAGAGATAACTGATCATACGTGAGCACATATGATACATGTCTTTTGAGAGAGGTTGACGTACATTTTGACGAGAGCTTAACATTATTTGCAACTTAATATAATTTAGTGTTGGTGTAATAGGTGTAGAGCTAAAGTTTGATGAATATTTTTATCACTGATTGCCACTGTTGTCTCATTATGTTCAGAATTATGTGACAGAACACACATGTGACAGGACAGATATATGACAGAATAGAAATGTGATAGAACAGTACTGTTGTACATGTGACATCACATATGATAGAACAGTACTGTTGTACATGTGACATCACATATGACAGAACAGTAATGTTGTACATGAACATGTGACATCACATGTGACATCACATGTGATAGAACACTACTATTGCACATGTGACATCACATGTGACAAAACAGGTATGTGATAGAACAGACATGTGTTAGAACAGTACTGTTAAAATGTACATATGACATCACATGTGATAGAACAGTACAGTAGTACATACACATACGACATCACATGTCCACCATATTTAAAATTGTACTAAAAACACCTGTCGAAAAGGTTAAATTAGTAACAAAATTATTACGAACGCATATAATACCGAATAAATACAACCTGCAGAAAATATCGAACTCCTCACATTTCGGTATATAGCCGAACGGGCTGGTGCCCGTTGGAGCGAGGAAAAAAGATTCTGCACCGATGACACGAAAGCATTTTCCGGGAGCTTTCATGGTGTTCCCGTTCCCAGGGAGGATCCTTTTTACACGGTCGGAGACGCGACCGCTTTTATGTGAGTTAACGCAACGACGCTCGTAGATCCATAACGTAACCCCTCCGACCCTCGTAAACCTGAATTTATTAACACTTCGAACGACGGGAGAGATTTGCTAAATGGTTTTCAATTTGTATCTTAACGCTTCCAGACCACATGCTCGACAGATCTTGCTGGCTGTACCGTATGTACTTCGGGAAAAAGAGTGTATATTTCATGTCTTATTTCAGATTCTATTTCAGACAGGTTTTCTTTATTGCTCGTATCTCCATGGAGATGTTTAAGAAATTTAAATTCGACGGCCGACTCCATTTTTATTGCCCGTGTGGGTAATTGAACGAGGGAGAAAGCTGATCGATATGGATATCGATACTGTATGCATGATATGTTTCGTGGTATGTATTTTGATGAAGGTTATAAGCATTTTATGAGATTGTATGAGGGTGTTGAGGTAATTGTTTAATTGTAATTATCTTTAAGTGTACTTTACATTGAAATTCATGTATTGCAAAATTATTATATTTAGAAATCTGTATGTGCTTAAGTCCATATCCATTTTGTAGTAGGTCTGAACCTTGTTATACTAAATTCCTACATCCCCAAAGTACTGCATCTTCAAATTCCTATATTTGTACAAGACTACAGTCCCGAATCTCTACAACCCCAAATTCCTACATCAGCAAATTACATCTCTGAATTTCTTGTATACCCAAATTCCTGCACCTTCAAAATTCCAGCAACACCATATTCTTACATCCCCAAATCCCGACATCTCTGAATTCCTACATCCCTAAATCCCAACATCTCTAAACTCCTACATCCCCAAATCTCTATATCCATAAATTCCTACATTCCTCCATTTCTGCATTCCCAAATCCATATATTCTCTAATTTCTAAGTTCCCAAATTCCTGTATCCCCAAATTCTCATATTCCTAAATCCCTACATCCCTAAATCTCTGTGTCTTCAAATTTCTATATCTTCAAATACATATATTTTCAAATTCCTATATATCTAAATCTCTAAATAACCAAATTAATATACTCCCAAATTATTATCTCCCCAAATCCCTATATACCCAAATCCGAATTTACTAATTCAAAACTACCTGGTTTCTAAGCCGTCGGGTTTCAATAAGCAACAAAAATCTATACAATGAAGATGCCTTTTGGAAAAGATTAATTTGAACAATACGTATATTACTATTCCTGAAATTATAATAACTGAGCAAAACTTAATGCAATACTAGATAATTAAAATACAAAGTAATGAAATGACCCTATAGTTAAAACTCAGCATAATGAAATTACTGTAAAATTGAATTATCAGATACTTAATCAAAATTCAACATAAAGGTTCGTAGTACACTTTCTATATAGTTAAATTACAATATAACAAAATTACATACTTAAATTATAATTTCATCTGAACATCACAATTACTTTCAAAACATCCCTGAATAAATCTTTGCATCTACCACAAAATCTGAAATATCTCTATTCTTCTTTAGGTAAATTAAAAAATA